GGCGAGCGGCCGGCGCCCGGGCCACGGGCCCCGCTTCCCTCAGCCCCCGCGCACGCCGCCGCGCTCCGCCCCGCCACCGAGTCCCCGCCGGCCGAGAGCGGCTCCACATCCGGGTACCGCCGCGTCCCGGGCCCGAGCGGCGCCTCGCGCGGGACTGCGATGCTCCTCGGCGAGGACAGGGTGGGAAGGGTTCGGGGGAGCCGGGCGGCCGAGGAAAGAATGGGAAGGAAACGGATCCCTAAGCGTCCCCGGGACGCAGAGGCAGTGCGCATGCGCGCTCCCGGGACGCGAGAGCGGAAGGCCCCGCCTCCGTCTGGAGCGATGGCGGGTGTGTCCCTGCAGCGCCTCCCGGCAGTCCGGGGAAGGCCTGGACGCGGGGCTGAAGGAAGGGTGAGGGGCCAGCGAGCGGGCTGCACCTCTGCTGAGGTCGGTGCAGGGGTTCCTAGGGTGTGTACGGGATGTGAGTTGAGGCTTCGGTTCGAGCGGGAGCGGGAGTAGGGCGAATGACAGCACAGGTTAAAGGAGCCTCGGGTTCCCTGTACTAGGTACAAACATTCCAATCTAGAGTGGGTGGCTTTTGAAAGACGGGCCTTGCCTTACTGCAGTCAAGACGGTAGGCCGACCCCACTCTTCAGATCGTGGTTATATTTGGTATGAAATACATTTAGGTTGGTTTTTGGAAGGAGATGACAGGGATCGAACAGAGGGGCTTTCTCAGGCTAAGCACACACATGGTCGACCACTGAGTATGGACTTTCAATGCCGTGTCTTTGGGGTTCGGTTTGAATTTCTCCATGAAGTCCAATCTGGCCTCAGCCGGGAGACTCCCAGCCTCTGCTCTCAAACTGTACCACCACACCCAGGGAATCCCAGAAAATTTTCATCCCAGCATTTTGTTTTTTGCACCTAGCATCACTGTGCACACCTGTAACGCAGCATTTGGGAAACTGTGACAAGCAGACGGCAAATCTGTGGCCAGCCTAGGCTACACAGTGACATAAAGCCCAAGAATTTTACTTTACCCAAAATGGGTAGCTGCAATTCTTAAAACAGAAAGGCATTTAAGACGTAATCTAAGCTAGTGACTGCTATCTCTACAGGAGAGTGGCTTTCCAAGACACGATCTCATGTAGCCCAGGCTGGCCTCAAACTCCCTTAAAAACATGCCATAAATCCAGATTGTGTGTGTTGTGTTACCCTATAAAATGGACATACATTTTTAATTCTTTAGAAAAGTGTTCACGCTCTTAGATCATTCCTGCATCCCTCGATGTCCACATTGGTATTGTCCAAAATCAATATGAATCATCATGAAAACTGCTGTATCATACATGGGTCTGTCATGTTTATAACGAAGTTGTTTTACACATAAGTTTACCTTACTTTCATTTTTTTAGGAACTATTTGGCACCACTCAACATTCACGAGATTGCTTCTCTTCTAGCCACAGATAAAATAGATAAGCCCTTGCTGGGTGAGGCCATGCGGTTTGACCTAAGTGCTCCGGAGGCTGACGCAGGTGCTTTCCTCCACCTGGTGCTATAGGGCTTATAAGTAGATCTTCCCACTTCTAATGAAGCAAAATCCCTCACAGGCGTGCCCCTCCATGGGGGGGGGTTACTTAATTCAAAATGCAGTCAAGCTGACAATGGTATCGCTAACCTATGCTTGTAAGCCCAGCACTCAAGGAGGCAGAGGCAGGTGGAACCCTGTGAGGTCAAGGCCACCCTGGGCTACACAGAGAAACCCTGTCTCAAAAAAAACCAAAAACAAACAAAGAAAGCCAGAGAGAGAGAATAACCATCACACCAGGAATGATGGAAAAGGAACAGAATGGCTTTTCGGGTGGCTCTAATAAAAGCTTGATTTTAAACTTCTGGCTTCCGGACCTATAAGACACAAATTCCTATTGTTTTAAACTATCCCCTTCCAGCATTCGCCCCCAAAATTCATAAGGTAATTATTTCATAGTGTAATGATGAAAAGAGCCAAATATATAGCTTGGTTCCTGAATCTACTGATTCTGGGTATGGGAATAACACACTCAAAGCATTGACCTTGCTTGGGCTACAGTCAGGCATTCTGTCTCAACTACAACTCAGGAGCAAACACTGCTTTTCAAAGGGAAAATGATTCTTGCTAAGCGGGCTAACTTTGCCCCAAAGTCCTGGAGGTTTGGACTAGAACTGTTCTTTCAACACTCGCCACTCTCCGCCGTGACACCAGGCACTGTAACAACGTGGACTCTGCACAGTCACTCATGTCTCACGCCAGGAAAAGCTTGTTCTGCAACCTGGGCCTGCTGCAGAGACAGCTCTTGCTTCAGTCCCAACTCAAAACCATTTTGATTGCAGGGTAGAGACACAGTGATAACAACGTGGAGTATTTATTTTGGCTATAGAATATAAACAAGCCCAAGAATTTTTACCTCTTCCTTTATTTATTACTCAAGTACTAGAGGCTGTGAAGTCCAAGACCAATGTATGAGCAGTGGCCAGGCAGAATGGTGTAGTTCTAGAATTCCAACTTGGAAGGCAGAAGCAAGGGAAGAGCTACAAGTTTGAGGCCAGCCTGGTTTACACAGAAAGTTCCAGGCCAGCCAGGACGTATTCGTTACTTTTCTTATTGCTTTGACAAAATACCTGAGAAGATAACTTCAGGGGAAAAAGATCTATTCTACCTCACAGTTTGAGAGTACAGTTCATGGTGGGAAAGCTCTGCATGGTGGCAGGCATGTGAGGCAGCTGGCATCTCAGTCAGGACTCGGAGAGAAGACCAGGAGAGCAGAGGGAGGAGAGGAGAGAGGGGAGAAAGATGGGACGGGCTGTTTTTGTTTTTTTTAGCTCACTCTCTTTTTATGCAGGGTAGGACCCCAACCCATGGAGTAGTGCTGCCCATATTTGGTTCATATTTTCTCTACCTCAGTCTCACCTTTCTGGAAACATTCTTACAAGCACTCCCAGAGGCTTGTCTCATAGGTGGTTCTTAATTTTGTAAAGTTGACAGTCAAGATTAATGGTCGTAAGTTCTCCCTTGCCAACCTGACACCCAAACATTATAAAATTATAACATCTCACTCATGGCCCCTAAAGACTCAATACGTCATAATGCATCATTCATGTAGTCCATACCTAAAAATTCCCCCAAATCTAGACAGTTACAACAGTCTTTAAAATCATAAGAGCGGGGCTGGAGAGATGGCTCAGAGGTTAAGAACACTCGCTGTTCTTCCAAAGGTCCTGAGTTCAATTCCCAGCAACCACATGGTGGCTCATTAACCATCTGTAGTAAAATCTGGTATACAGTCAGAATGTTGTATAAATAATAAATAAATCTTAAAAAAAAAAAAAAGTAAAAAAAAAAAATCCTAAGAGCAGTGCCTCTCCTGAGACACAAAGCGAAGGTGAGTCCCTATGGAGTAAGAGCTGCATGCTTCCCACCCACAGTGGCACAGAAAAAAACATTGCAAAGGGAGCTATGGGGGCACACAGAGAAGGACTGGGCCAAAGCAATGCCGACACAACAAACACCACAGCTGTCTTTCTGGCATCTGGGGCTTAAGGGAGCCTGTCAAGTTCTGCTGCACACGGAACCTCTATCTTGGACTCGCTCCACCCCATGCTTACCGCTTAGCTGAGCAGACATACCATTTTCAACATCCTTGGGGTTTCCATTGCCACTTAGGGTTCACCTTCCTAGCTTTATCAGGTGGCTGCTCAGAGCCTCTTTGCAGGGAATCAGACCCTGACACGTACTGCCTGATCTTGGTGACTTTCTAGGACCTTGGTTCTAGCCCTGTAACTCCTGCATTCTTATAGGCCTATGCAACTAGCACTACATTAGTTACTTTCCTATTGCTGTGATAAAATGCCACAGCCAAGGCAACTTACAAAAGGAAGGGTTTATTTGTGTTTACAGTTCCAGATGGTAAGAGTCCATTGCGGCACATCTTGAACAGTGAGCAGGAAGCAGAGGTAGAGAACTGGGGATGCCGTGAGTCTTTAAACTCTTAAAGTCCACCCATGATGACATACTTCCTCCAGCAAGCACATATCTCCTCACCTTCCTCAAACAGTGCCATCAACTGGGGACCCATATTCAAATGCCTGCGCTCATAGGGGACATCTCATTCAAGCTACAATGAGCACCATGGAATAGACATACTTGGTGACCAGAATAATTAGCATACTGGATTTCTGATTTGTGGAATGAGACATTTTAGTAATAAAGCCCAAACAAGTCGTTTTTTTTTTTAATTCTTTTTTTAAAAAAAAATTATTTTTATTTTATTGCATTGGTGTTTTGTTTGCCTGTATGTCTGTGTGTGTGTGTCAGATTTTGGGCTTACAGTTGTAAGCTGCCATGTGGTTGCTAGGAATTGAACTCTGGGTCCTCTGGAAGAGCAGACAGTGCTCTTTTTTTAATAGCTGAGCCAACTCTCCAGCCGCCCCAAACAAGAGTCTTTTAAGTATCATTTCCTCTCCCCAAACAAGCTACAAACTACATGCTTGGAAGACCTGAAGAGAGTATCATCATCAAAAACATGAATCAGAGATAATGGTTCCCATTTCTTCCTACTTAAGTTGC